TTCCAATGGGCCTTTTTGTACTCAACTACTCTAGAAGTGTTAGTTATGACTTCAGAGCACCATAAAATATCTCAAATATGTATATAAATAACCTGTAGCTATGGAGATATAAGGCAATGAGCTAAGCCAGGCTAAATCTACTGATAAAAAGGATGATGATAACATTTCAGACATGTGACATGTGAGGGGGATAAGGATGTTATCTTTTAGCTTTATGCCAGTATGTGTTGGATTTAATCCAATCCTATACATCCCAATTACATGCAAATTTCAACGTTACCTATAAAATTCACACAATAAATTACCAATAAGCAAACTCAAGAACAGGGACTGTCTGATCATTTTTACATTGGTAACCTATGCTTATGTGCTTTTTTATTTTATTTTATGCCAAGTTTGAATTGCCTATGTTTGTGACTTAACACAATTTCCATTGTCTCACTTAATAAACTTTAAACAATCTACAAAGGCTGAAAAATCACTTATTACACCACCAGGAGAATGTTGCTAATTGCCTGTTATAACAGTAATATAAGTATAATTTTAAAAAAATGACTTCCAGCCCCCCCCCCCCCCCCCTTTTCTTGAATTATCTTGTAAGATGTTAACCAAGGATGCCTAGCATACAGATCATCTATTAACATATGAAATAATGAAAGTCCTTTAATTGGATTTTCTGGCTTAACCATGGACTTTAACTTGAAACTCTTAATAATATAAAGGCCTTGATGCATGTAAGCACTTTTAATATAATCACTCATTCAATGCTTTGTTCTCTTTGTACAATGTTGTGCTTTTTTTTCAACTAATGCATTTGTCTGTTTTGTTAACCTGAGACTTTTGGTAGAATAAAGTTCAAAATTTTCACATGCGCAGGTCCTTCACCTTACAAGAACAGATTGTGAATTTAGCAACTAAATCAGTAAATCTGAATAACAGGCCATTGTAACGAAAAAAAGCACAGTAATTTCTAGCTACTGTATGTGTTCTTTAAAAAAAACAAAAAACATTATATATATACAGCATACAGTATAATCACATATGGCAACTAGCATAAGTACACAAGTTTGGCTTGTATTAGTCCCATGCAATTCCCTGTACAGCAACAGTCACTCTGGGAGTGGGAGGATCAGCTGTGTGCAGGCCCGGATTTGCCCCAAGGCCAGGTTCCACAATACGCGCGCCCCCCCTCCCCGCCATCTGGTTGTCATTTTCAATTGATGGGGAGGGGAGTTGGTGGCATGGGGGGGGGCGTATTGTGGAACCTGGCCTTGGGGCGGCAGAGGGAGTAAATCCGGCCCTGGCTGTGTGAGCCACTGAGGGCTCTATTGCTTTGTATAGTTCTGTCAGTCTAGCATCATGAAAAAAAGAGTGATAACCTCATCTATGTTCCGATGGGCCTTTATTGTGCTGTCTCACACTCAGGTGGGTCTTGGACCTTATCGTTGAGCTGTGGTCTGTATGGGTGATTAACTGTTTTTACCAGTTTGTTTAGAGTTAAGCTATTCTACTGGAAAGAAGTTTTAAAAGTACTTTAAAATATCTCAAAGCATAATTTGGAGGTACTACTTCCATCCCCCATGTTTTTGCAAGTATATCAGGACCAATAATCTAGCTATGCCATGCATTACCGGAATACTAACGTTTATCATACTTGCTGCTTTTGTAGAATGGAACATTGCAGAAATTGGGAGTACTGAAGTGTGAAAATATACATTTATATAAAGTATGGTTTTCTCTGAATTTGAATTCTAGCTAGTCTCTGTGTCTTTATCATTTGGTCTAATGTTGGTTTAAAATGTTATATAATGGATGCTTCCTAAACAGCTGTGATATATCTATATGCCACACTGCTATGTACAGTGTCAGGCCAAAAGGCTGAACATAGTGTCTGTTATTAAAAAAAAAGTAATCTTTTTTTTCCATTTATATTATACCTGAAATAGAACTAATAAACACCACAATCAAAAATTATTAGTATTCAGGATTTATATAGCGCCAACAGTTTGTGCAGCACTTTACAATTTAAGGAAGACATTACAATTACAATACAATTCAAGACAAGATGTTAAGGAGGACCCAAACATTAGCCAATGGTTCCTTTCCTGCATCTTCCTATGGGTCCTTCTGCCTGTCTACTGCTGCTACTTCCACTTCATCTCTTTTGACTTGCTCTGGGTCATTGTGCACTTCAAACTTCCTTCCAATATCCTTGTGCATGCACATGAGTCCATGCCTCTTTTAAAGGGCAAATTAACAGTCACATATGAAGACTGACTTAGGGTCTGCTTCTCTATAAATTGGTGCCCAATTCTGTTGCTTTTTCAGTTGATTATATTCTCAGCAAGCAAGCATTTTTTGTAAGTAAGCAATACTTGTATTTTGTATCTATTCGTGTGTGAATATCTTTAAAAAACAAAAACAAATCTAAAAAAGATTTTTCCAGTGCTACCACAGTTTGTGAGAATATAAAGACCTTTTATCTAAATTAGATACCTGGCTAAATAAGACATGGTTCTGTGTATGGTGTTTTTTGTATTTTGGACCTGCACAGACCAGGACCTTTCAATAAAGAAACAAATGTTATTTCTAAATACTCATGTATTTTCTTTTAAATTAGAACATCACTATTTATTTAAACTGTGGTAACACATACAAAATAATCTGTATCTAAAAAGGCTCAGTAATTTTGCTTTAAAAATGCATGTTAATAACATTGTTAATAGCCAATGCATAGACATGAGTTAAATATTAGGAACAAACGTGGGGGAACATTTTAAACTGATCAATCTCTGACAGCACTGCAACACATTTACATAGCCAGTCTTTGAAATGTGCACACAGCTAGTTAAGAAACTCGATAATATGACTTAAGTTTATCTAGCTTTCTTTATTTGAATTATGTATTTAAATGCAGCAGAAATATGTTTAAACACGCTTTTCTGCAAATCCATTCTTCTTGCCAAATTTTATGCTAACATAGCTACATCCATGTATAGCATTATAAATTGTAGCCTTAACATTTTCCTTTTGAACATTCTTCATAGGATGACATCTTTGTGTATTCTCACGATCCACCTTTAAAAACCATTGCCTTGTTACAAATGATACTCTTTAATTACCCTGCATTATGTAACTGATCTGACTTCAATGAGTACTCAAGGATGTAGCAGATTGTGGCATATGGAATGCTACAAAACAACTTGCCTGCCAACTCAAATATTAACCTGCTTTTCAGGTAGGACCCATGGAATTGGAACATAAGGTCTGAATTATATGTTCAAACATTAACATTTTTAGGGGGAAAATGAGCAACTACATTTTACATCAGGTGTACTGAAGCTATCAAGGCAGCAAAACAACTAAGCAAATAGCATTTTGTAAAAGGCAACAAAGAAAAAAAGCACGTGCTCCACGCTCTCGTGAAGGCGTGGAGCAAGTGTGAATTTGGTCAGTGTGGAGTGCTGCTCTAAAAACAGGAGGAGGAACCTGTGAACGTGGTAATGGAGCAATAA